GTAAACTTTCCATGATAATTATTCTTCTTGCATCATTGCAATATATATACAATAATATAATAATTCTTTATTCACCCCCAAGATACACATTTTTACATTATTATTGCTTGTATCACGTACCAAGAATTTTTACTTACGCCAAGTATGTCAAGTGGTTTTAATTACGTCAAGGGCTTTTACTTTACTCAAATCGTCAAAATGGCCTTGATGAGAAACTATCTTTAGTCGATACTTTAGTCACGTCAACGACTAAATTCAAAAGTTTCGTCATATATCATTAATGGGGTCTATAGATTTCAATATCATTAATAAATGAGTATCTAATTGGTTAAAATAAAAATTCTGATTATTTGGTAGTTTAAAAATAGAAGTGGTTTCAAAAAATTCTAAAAAAATTAAGTTAACAGATTATAAGGGTAAAAAACTTCAGTTCAGCGGGGCAAAGAACATGGCTATACACTTTTACTTTGACACATTAATTCTTCAGATCTTTGAAGAAAATAATGATGCTCATGGGTTACAATCTTTTGTCATAATCCCATAATTTATATTCAGAATCTATCATATGCCCGTCAACACAGATGCACTTCATATTATTTTAAAATATAAGCTGTATCAATGGTGCAGTTTAGAAATAATACTAAGTATAATCGGGAAAAATATTTAACACTGGTCATTATAATAATAGGTTTAGGTGTTATGTAGTAGTGGTAACAGACATTGATTTGTTGTGATATGGCATGACAGAAAGAAAGTAAAATAACGATTCGTAGAATATTTAGTTTTAAAATTTTTCTTTTACGATTTGAAATTAAATTTAATCCTTGATATATTGGATGAATCTGCAACTTGAGATAATCATTTAATATGGATCAGTACATCTAAATGCTGCGTCACGCGACGAAATTTCAAAATTATTCATTTTATGAAAAACCGTTTGACTAATTAAAGCGATACTATAATATTTTTCATAAAATACACAATAATAAATAAGAAATCCAGAGACTCTATGTGTCATCTATGAAATGAAACAATTAAGCGATTGCATGATATAACTATTAATGAATGAAAGTGTTTTCTATTGTATAACTAACCACACGACTAGTATTTTCATATCAATTGGTTTGGAATATTATTATCATAAGAAAAATCCGTAGTTGACACATGTTGAATTGTAATTTCACCAGAATTATATACTGATATCACAGTACATAGGTAAACTCGATAAGTCAGCCGCGAATGGCTGAGAATGTTTGGCTGACTTATCGAGAGAACCGACCATCTTACAGAGAGCACGTGACATAAAAATTTTTTTATTCTAAATAAATAAATAGTTTTTAAAAACAATAATTGTTTATATTAATCTTTTTCTTAGAATTTCAGAAGTTTGGAAAATCAACCAACCTTTTATACATATTTCCGAACACAATAAAACATAATAAAATAAATAAATGTATTTTCACAATACAAACAAAAATATTCTTTCTAAATTATCAGGTAAACAAAATGAAATAATAAAATATCGCGACAAGAATTTCTAAATCATCAGATATAACGGTATGATATAAATTCTAAAACAAAAAAATCATAATGCAAATGTCACGTGAGACTGACTTATCGAGAACAATTTACTTATCCTAAAAAGAGGGTTGGCTGACTTAAAACTTATCACAACTTTATATAGGTTGGCTGACTTATCAAGGGATTTTAAATAGGAAAAAAAGGGCTGAAAATTTTTGGCTGAGTTAGGTCAAAACTGATTTATGGAGGGGCCGACTTATCGAGTCTATCTATGTATCATAATTAGACAGCATAAGTTAACTCGCTTTGCGAGAGCTTCTAATTTCTCGCAAAAAAATATATATGCTACTGAAAAAGTTCCATCAGAGTTTTACACCAGATGGATTTTTTCATACCCGTGTATTTTTGGAGTAATAATAATAGTAAGTATAATAATGAATAAATCTGAATATAATTTTTTTTTTTGAAAAAATTAGATTGGCTATTAGATTATGATGTATCAAACTTTTATTATTAATAATAAAATAATAAGAAGATACCATTTTAAATCCATTCATTCATTGATTCTATTAAGCAACAATAACATATCAAACGGCACCTAAACGTTATATCATCAGCAAATTTGTTTGCACCAAATACCTTTAGTGAATGTATACTCGATTGCAAAGAATCATGCGAATATTCTCTCCTTCTTTTATCTTTTGAAGAATAAGAAGTATCAGTGTCAGTGTTAGTTTCTAAATGAATTAAATACAACAGTATTAAATGATCTTGATATGAACATTGTTGCAAACAGTGTTTTTCTCTTGTTATATCACCAATAAAGCGTACTGTTTGAATTCTTTGACAACTGGTTTTTGTTTTATTTCTTAAAAATTCAGTTCGTCTTATTTTTATTTTTATTTTGATGTGTAAATAAACAAGGATATCTTTGCCAGTTAACAACAGTAATAGTTTTATCGCAATTATTATGTGATTGTTTTTATTACAATATTATTATTAAGAGAAATTATTATTCAGAAGAAAAGTTTTTTTATTAAGACGTTTAAATCTTTTTAATGTAAAGATAGTAAATAGATAGTGAAGTATTTTGATGAATAATAAAGATATACTTCAAAAAAGTGCTAACGATATAAAATGTAAATAATAATAATAAATAAATAAATAAATAAATAACAAGTGAAATTCATATACAATACAAAGAAATAAATTTAAAGACAAATAAAAAAAAAGAAAACATAATAATAATAATTTCGATATTTCCGGTAAAGATCTTTATTGACCAATTGCTATTTTAATTTTAGATGAAGAACCTAGGAACAAGTAAGAATTAGTCGTTCATGTTTTTACTGTTAACGTATTTAGTTTATAAAATTATTATTCAAAAAGATATATTATTTATTAATAACCAGAGATGGTCTTTTGCATTGATACCTTATATTGATTAAAATCAAAAGTAAACATAATTGAAACTTATTAATATCATTTTAGGGATGTTGATCAATCGGCAACTCGAAACAATCGATTTTTTTTTAAAAAAAATAGGGCGCAAACATATGAACACTTAAGGGTTATGACACTAATACGGCATACGACCATACTAATACTGCAAATCTTTCCAATAGTTACGACATAACCTATGAGTTATATAGTTCGGTAGTATGTTTGCATCCTTAATCAACAGACTGTGAACTAAATATGCGTCGTAACAAAGTGACTTGTGGTCCCGCACCAGAAACAAAGTCTTTGTTATTATTATGTTTATAACGAATTGTTGTCATTACTACATTAATTGTTCTTGGGAATTAATATTAACATCTCTATATCATGTCTCTAGGTAATTATGTTAGCTTCCATAATAATAACTAACAAGGCTTTTTAATGGTAGAAATATTTGCTTTGCATAAATAATTATTATTAATATCAAATAATAATTATAAACAAAGCAACATGACTATTGAAGATGGGGAAACAATTTGATTTGATATCGGAAATTCCCAAATATTGAGAATTACTTTACGACTCAAATATTTAAAAAATTACTTGTCCGTTGCTAACAAGGGTCAACATGATCCAAGTCCTCTGGTTGTCACTATTACTATTGTGATGATGCAACGTAATTTCAGAGGGAGCAGCGTGGCCCTGAAATTTATTTGAAACTGCGTTGTGATTTTTCAAGGAACCTCTCACTTTTCATCTGCGGAGAAATTCGATAAGGATCTTCTGCACGTTCGTAGAAGGAAAGCCTTATTAAATCTGACGCTTAAGCCCAATCTTCATTTTATTTCTGGAAGTGATTGTCAAGAATTGCAATCATACACGATTGAAAAAGGGAGACTTGGCCACCACCACTAGAACGGATGTCTAGACATATATGGAAAGGAGGCTTGGATTAAAATATCAAGGGTTTATTTTCAAACTCCGCAAAATACATTTCATCATTGCGTGGCAATGCAATCTGTTTTGTTTATTAGTTTTCTGGAAAAGGAAGTATATGTCGAATAAACTGCCTACTTTACTTAATATATCAACAAATTAGATGTTTGGTGATAAAATGTTTGTAACCTCTCGATTCAGTAATTTGATACAAACTAATTAAGGCACAAGGTGAATTTAGACCCCTTCAAAAGTTATTGGAAAAGTTCCGAGAAACAGCAGCAATGGATTATAGCATTGGTATTAGGACAAAGAATACAAGTAACGAAGGAATTCGAAAGTCTATAAAGAAGAATTCAAAACCTTGCTAATGGTATATAAATTTTGCACTTTACCTTCCATTGGGGAGGGGGAATATCTCAGAGTTGTAAATACATCTTTTGTCTAGAAAAGAAAAATTTATCTATAGGAAGGAAGGCGGGAAGTAGACCAAGAGAGTATATAAGAAAAGCTAATAAGTCAAAAGATCCTGCCTGACAAGTGAATGTGAAAGAAAAGGGGACTAAATTTACTAAATTTTAATCCCTGAAATTTCTTTGTGGCATAATAATTAAACATTGTACCATATAAATAAATACAAAAACAAGAAATTTTCTTGATTTAAGTATACATTATTAAATTACCAAAGTTCGTAAACTTTTATCATTTACGAGTTAGTTAAAATACATACTAATACAATTTTATTTTTTTTCATTTAAAAGAAAGAAAAATCGTGTATATTGGTGTAACTTCTAATTTCATTTATTTATATCTTAAAAATGTCAAAGCCAATAAAAGATGGCTTAGTTTTTTGTGTAAATGTGTGTCATGATCTGTCATCCATCATCAAAACATTAAAATCAGATTATATTTAAATCAATTATAATTTTTTTCCCCAAAAAAAAAAAAAATTTTTCCTCATAATTCTTATTAAAAAAAGAAAAACAACTATATAAATAAATAAATAAAAATGAAAAAAAGACTAGACATTCGTGACGGTATTTGTCTTTATATTAACAACCATCAATTTTTTACATTATACTATAATAATATCATTCTAAATAATGGATCCATTAGCACTAAATGAGCTCGATGATAAACGCATAAAAAACATAAGGCCATTAATTCAACCTCAAATTTTAATGGAAGACTTTCCACTTACCTTCCAAGCAGCACAAAGTGTCATACTTGGTCGTTCTGCTGCTGAAGGCATCATAAAAGGTCACGACGACCGACTTCTTGTAATAGTTGGTCCTTGTTCAGTTCATGATGTTCATGCTGCTCTCGAATATGGTAAAAAATATAAATGAATTAGATGGAAATAAATTTTTCCATGTAATATATAAATATTTATTTATTTATTGATCATCATAATCACAATTTTAGCTGAAAGATTAAAAGACTATTCAGCTAGTGCAAGTAGTGAACTAGCTATTATTATGCGAGTTTATTTCGAAAAACCAAGAACTACAGTAGGATGGAAAGGACTGATAAATGATCCTGACTTAAATAACAGGTACCTATTATATTTTGTATATGATGATATATGTATGGGCGAGAATGAGAGATTAATAGAGATTATTCTTTTCCTTTCCTAGTTTTCAAATAAATAAAGGTTTACGAGTTGCACGAAATTTATTATTAGATATAGTAAGTAAAATACAACCCTTTTGGGAATAACTATTATTTGCTTTATTTTCATTTTGATTATTTATTTTTTTAAAAAAAAAACCCCCAATTTAATATTTAAATAGAATCAAATGGGAGTTCCATGCGGATGTGAATTCCTTGATACAATCACACCACAATACATTGCAGATCTAGTTTCCTGGGGTGCTATTGGTGCAAGAACTACCGAATCACAAGTGCATCGCGAATTAGCTTCAGGTTTATCTGCACCTGTTGGTTTCAAAAATGGTAAATACAAGTGTGAAGGAAAGAGTGTATGTGCGCATATATGTATTAGCAATTGATATTGATTCTTTTGAAAATATGTAGGCACTGATGGAAATATAGGTGTAGCTGTTGACGCTATCAAAGCTGCTAGTGCTAAACACAATTTCTTATCGGTTACAAAACAGGGAATAAGCGCAATAGTGGAAACAGAGGTAAGTTCTACAACAAAAATAAAAATAAAAAGATTGTCAAAATATAAACTATCCACTAAAATACCAAATAAATCTAAATAAATGAATTAGGGAAACGATTCTTGTCATGTAATTTTAAGAGGTGGTATAAGTGGACCTAATTATTCGGCTGAGAATATAACAAATGTTGTATCTAAATTAGAAGCTGCAAAACTCGTTTCACGTATAATGATTGACTGTAGTCACGGTAATAGCCAAAAGGTGTTCAGCAAACAAGTAGATGTAGCTAAAGATATTGTGAGTATTGGATGAATATTTTCTCTTGTCATTACGAATTAATTAGTGAATGAATTTTTTGATTAATTTTTGTAGGTTGAACAACTTAAAACTTCACCTACAGGATTCAATATAATGGGCGTAATGATTGAAAGTAACTTGGTAGAAGGTAGCTGTTAAAATATTTTTATTTTATTTTATGATTATAATCATTATAATCTAATAATATAATGACCTACAATAATGGTGATGATAATAATAATATAGGAAATCAAGGCATTCCACCAGATGGGGGTGCAAATCTTATTTATGGTCAATCAGTAACAGATGCATGTATTGGTTGGGAAACTACAGTTCAAGTTTTGGATCTATTGCGTGAAGGTGTCCGTGCTAGAAGGCAACGTAATGGTAAAGCTGTAAATGGAACTGGTAAAGTTGTAAATGGAATTAGTAAAGCTGTAAATGGAATTAGTAAAGGTGTAAATGGAACTGGTAAAATTATAAATGGAATAGTTTAAAACTGAATAATTAAATTAAATTTTCTTTTTCAATAATTATAATTAATCATCCATCCATCAATATCAATTTAATTTGTAAATTTTTTTTTTTTTTTAAAAAATACAATAAAAAAATCAAAACTAAAATTTCAAAATTTATTTTCCATAAATCAATCGATTTATTATTCTGTGCGCGATAATCATAAAGTATTTTTTTGCATTTGCGTGATAAATAAATTCCCTTTTATAAAAGTCAATTAAAAAAATATATATTTTTGTATTTAAAAATATGTGTTAAAAATAACAATTAATAACATAGTTTAAAAGTTGATCCTCGACATTTCGAGTATTTTATTTATTTCTTCGTTTAAACTGCACATATAACCTAGCGTTTCTTTTGTGACCCGATTTTAAAACAAAGCAACCCATTGCATAATCAAATAAGTGAATTTGCAGTAGAATCTAACCCCAACTAATTGCACCGGAAGATCATCATCAAGGGAGGATGATATCATTTTTGGTTCATAAAAATGGATTGCGTCAGATGTAAATTTTTATCTTTTAAATTGAAGTAAATGTTAAACTTATGTGATAAATCTATAATAGAGTCTAATTTTATCCTCCATTTTGGTGACCATTACTGAGATTTTAAAAAGAGAAAGGTCAGGCAGGACATCTTTTCTTGTCTAAATTCTTGTGCCGACTCGTAATAACATTTATTATAAATTATGAATAAAATAATAACAATTACCATCTTGATTCAGATTCAGTGTTATATAACGAGAAACATATAATTTTGTTTACCATATGATGAGTGAAGGTGTTTAGGTGCTTTTTAATAGAAACGCGTGAAACCCTGAAGGAAAGATTTGCTATCGTTTTTGAAACTCATTATGCCAAAAATGGTTCTGCATCATAGGCAAGAGTTTGATTGGCTAATTTTGCTGATCAAATTAGAGAATATGCTAAATTTGGTATTTCCTAATTTATAAATGATAAACGTTCTGGAATGATACCTTGTACGCCTGTTATTATTATAAAAATAAAATCCAATTTCGCTTTTGATTAAAAATATTTTTTCTCATTTTTCATTTTGAATAAATTATTTTCTTCCCATTTCAACTTTACTCTTCCTAAGTAAATATTTTCTCTTTCTCAAATAAATTATTTCTTTTCCTATTTCATCTTTTCTCTTTCCTGTTTTGATTAAATAAGTTATTTTTTTCAGTTATTGCCTTAATACACATGTTTGTTAATAAATCAATAAAAATACAATGAATTATCAAAATAATCAACGTGAAGTTCCTTTCAACGGACAACCGGATGCACCTAATATTCCTAGCGAAGCTTACTCTGGTCATGATAATTTTCGCTCAAGTATTCCGATGAATATCATCTACAACAACAACAACAACAACAACAACAACACACCTCACCAAAATATAAATGGTGATAATTTGAACAACAATTTGCTTTTTATAGCTGTTCAGCTTCTAACAACAGCGACGGCAACAGCAGCAACAGTTTCAAAAGAGGCAGCGATAGCATTACTAATAATTAACTTGGTAGCTGTTTGCTTCTTAATTATAATAAAAATAAAGCTATCAGGTTACCATAATTTATTTTCTTAATTTAAGTAATTTAATTAATTCGCTTTTCTTTTTTTCTGGCGGTTAAAATTTAAAAACGGGGAAAAACTTTTAAAAAAGAGCTTTATCTTTAATGAATATCGAATTGATAGAATTAGAATATTTAAAATTGTAAAATTGTTAATTTATAATTTTAATAAAGTTTTTTATTTTGCACTTTTGCTCTCTCAAAAAAACAAACAAACGTTATTATTTATTTTATGCACTCACTAGCTTAGATACAATGAGATGCCACACATTCTGAAAATAATTCGTTTAAAATGAAGCAACGCAATGTCATCTATTTTTTTTGTTCTTTTCCATCAACCACATCAACACGCTAGCGATAATTTCGCGTCGTCGTCGTCATCTAACCCCAAAGAAATAATATTCTTTTTTTTTGAAATTATTATTAATTCGTGCTTTTAAATGGTGTTATTTGGGTAATCTAAGAAGTATATTTAATCTTTAATTTTAGGGTCAGCTGATATTAAATGTTCTATATTAGTTTTCTGATTGGTCAAATTAGTTCGATAGGCGTGCCGAATTTTTTAATTTTAAACCCCTATAACTTGTTATTTTACTAATTAACCTTAAAAAATCTCTCTATTACATTGTTGCTTATGTTCCAAAGATTACAAAAATAGAAAGATTTTTATGGACCAACAAATATTTCAGGGTTTAAATATTTGCAATTTTTTTTTGATGTCTTTAGATGCGGCGCACCATAGACAAAATTTTTCGTAAGGAATCTTCATTTAACTTCCGGAAGGTAGTGTTTTCATAACTGCTGAAATTACAAATTTCACAAGGTCCAAAATTGCTTCGTTTCCTTCCCATCTTCACACCAAAGTTTACTAATAAAAATGTCTACGGAATTTCTGATCTTTTCTGATCTAAACTTAGAATATATGAAGGCGTTTATGTGCAACATTTTTGAATACATTCATTATTAAACAAAATTTTAACCCATGCCATTTGTTGATTGACAAATTAAAATCACGAATTTGATAAACGTAGAAATAAACATTAATATGGGTTTGATTCATTTCGTCAACAATCACTTCACCAACAATTGTTTCATTAACGAATTTAAGAAGTTGGAAGTAACCATGCGACAAACCATTGAAATAGTCTAATAAATTAAATTGTACTACTCGAAAATGTATTTAAAGGGTTGGTTTTTGACTTGGTCGA